AGCTAAATTCGTTAATCGTAGGTTGAAGATAATGTATTCTTACATCAAATAAGAGGCTTCTCTTTTTCTGTACTACTATAAATTCTCAAAATAATAGGCAAGAGTGTTAATTCAAAAATCATGCCCCTAAAAATAGTATAGATGTTTCAAAATAATATCTATACGCAGTATTGTACGTTTTAACTATCCAAAGACTTTTTTGGTACTGTCTAACATCCAAGTATCCAAGTATTCACAAGTATCCAAAACATATCCAAGCTTTAATAATTAATAAATTTGTTTAAAAAATATATAATTATATACTTTTTTATGTGCTAAACATATTTTACTTAGAAATTAATATAGATTATCTTAATAAAATTTTGAGTAATTTAAGTTATTTAATTGTCCAAAATTGTTCACAACTGTTTTGTAACAACACTGCCTATACACGTTCTGAAATAATACGTATCTAATGATAAGGTAATAAAATTTAAAAAATGCCCTAGAACTAGGTTTGGTACTATGTAAATCTACTTTTAAGCTTTAACAAAAGATGTTCTCAGATTAAGATGGTTTCAATAGCAGTAAGTTTATTAAAGATATCTCAGTATATCATCTACAATAGCTCTTCAAAGTTTTGAATAAAGATAAACAAACATTGCAAAACTTTGAAGTGCTATTGCAGACGATATACTGGGCCATTTTTAATGAACTTACTACTATTAGAACTGTCTTGACCTGAACAAAAACTTTAATTAAAACCTGAAAATAGATTTATTTAATACCAAACCTAGTTTCGGAGCATTTTTATTGTTCGAAACGTAGCGAAAGACCTATATTTTTACACCAAACCATGCAATATCTGTTAGCAATATCTAATCATATTTTTAAATAATATTATATAATATATATTTGTATATAATAGATTAAATAGCCTACTATGGGTACTGTTATTGCTTCAAACATTTTATTAGTTTCTGATATTCTAGTTTATTTACTTTTTATATAAAAAATATATATAATTTTATATTTATTTCAAAATAACGCCCATGTGTGTACTCAAAATAATGTGCACATATTTAAAATAATACGCAGATACCTGTTATTTTGAGAATTTATGATAGATGTATCTGCTCAGTGCGGCCAGTCATTTGTAAGTGCTTATAGAAGTAACTGCAGGCTATTAAATCTCATATTATAATCCCTCAAGGCATTTGGTTAACCAAATCAAATATTATATAATAAAGAATATTGGTGAGATAACCAAAGTAGAAAAATATATATATATATTTTTGTTTGACTTAACTAGCAATGATATATTTGTTATTAAAATATTTACAATTTGGTTAAGCTAAACAAGTATATTACAATATATTTAAGAAATATATTTATAAAATATACTGTATAAATTGTATAATAAAGTTATTTATTTTACTATTTATAAGTTCAAATTTTTAACAAATCTAAATATACTTTAAAATTAATTTAACTTAAAATCTATATTAAATATTATATTTAAATCTTCCTATTCACAACCTTATTTTGTATAAAAACCAACCTTAAAATTTTTTATTCTATAAAAAAAATTATTATTGTTAAAAACTTTTATTTAATAGTTTAAAATTTAAAAAATTTTTTTATTTAGTTCAAACTATTATTACTAAGCTAAATTAAAGATAATTAGAGATTATTTTTAAATCAAAGCTAAAGATGATGTTGTTAAGAATAATTACTTGTACAATGTTGCATTCTTAAAAAATACTCTAAAATATATATTATTTAAGCAATTGATTTGCATTAACCAATCAGATTAATTTCTGCTTGTGAATTAAATAATCTTCTTTCTATAAGAAAAGCAGTTTCAAAGCAGTGTAGACTATCTTGAAAATGCATTATATTATTTTGGCTTACTAATATTAATAGCAGGTTGGCTTACAGGTAAACCACAGATAAACCACAGGTGGACCCGTGAGTTGAATCACGGGTAGACCTACGGGTCAACCCGTCCAAGCCTACCCGGGTAGGCATAATCACAACCTGAATACCCGACCCACCCAGATATACCCAGGTCAACCAAACCGGATTCAATCACTAGCATATATATAACGGGTAACTATAGTAATATAGCAAAGCTCTTAAATAGATAACCATATATATTCTTGTCAAAATATAATGTGTGTAGGGTCTCTAGAGACATCAGTAACTCAATACACTAATAAAATCGATAAGCCAAAGAGGCTAGCTTTGATTAGGAAAAAAAACATATATATTATTTATAAAAATTTTTAATAACAATGAATAATACTAAATCATACTATAGTATATTTTTTAATATTTTTTGCTAGTAAAATTTAGGATTAGAAAACTTAAACTATAGTAACAATATAGGCTTAAATTTTAGTTAGGGCAAGATTTTAAAAGGCGCTAAATATTTTTGCTTAGTATATTCAACATTGGATATTTAGCTATATAGGTTTTGAAATATAGCAATTGCACGTAGGAATGCTAACGGCTTGAACCGGCTTGTATATTTATTATTATAAAAACCGATTAATAAATAGAGTGGATTGAGTCGTTAGCATCCCTACATTGGTGTAATAAAATTAAAAAAATTTGCTAATTTAAGAATAACAGTATATATATTATTTTTGATATATATTATCTCTAATAAATAATAACGAATATATACAAGAAAAAATAAATTTTAATTTTAAATATACAATATATATATATATATATAGTATAATATATACTGTATATATATATTGTATAAATTTATTTTTTTAAAAATTGTATTTGTTGTTTTAAATATTATGTAAATGAAAATTTTAAACAGATTATCTGTAATATTTTAGTTAAAGCCAATATTTACTAAAATTTAAACACCAATAGAGTAAAAGAATTTAGTATTAATTGTTTTTTTTTAAACTTGACTTTTTTATATATATATTGTAAAAGCAGTATGAAATTCCATTTATTATTTATTAATTGGCATATAAATCACGAATTAATGCATAAAAATTGAACCAATTATAAAAGTAGCTATTGAAAACTTTGTGTACATATTTTATTCGAACTGGTTCGAAGCATAAACAAAGCTAAGCCGTAAACCGAGCAAGAACGTAAAGTTAGGTCTCACCTTGCTAAACCATAATTAAGCCATTATATTTGTGAAACAGATCAGATAACTTGATACTAAAAAGAGTGCACCACAATACGTCTCATGTGTTACATATATTAATAGGATATATATTTATTTTCCAGTTTTTTAGTCGATTAGTACACTTATTTATCAATACCATTATTCCATTTTTGAAAATAATTAACCGCCGTTATTATGTAATAGCGAATTTAAGTAGTACAGAAAAAGAGAAGCCTCTTATTTGATGTAAGAATACATTATCTTCAACCTACGATTAACGAATTTAGCTACTTATACGCACTATCGCAATAAATTCATCAAACTTAAATGTTACGGAATAAAAAAAAAAAAGAAATGATTTTAGCACACCACCATACCACGTACCAATTTCAGATGGTTGTCGAAGATGATTAGGACTAGTGCAATTTATGAGGACAGCCTTTCGACCATATATGTTGTTCTACCTCTGCACTAACTATATAATTGAATTACGAGATCGAATGATCGAATCCCAAGACAGATAGCCCCAAACTTTAAGATCTTTCTGATACGCCTTCACTCAATTTTTTTTTTTTTTGATTGTTAGGAGAAAAAAAAAATCGATTTGGATTTTTTTTAATGAAAAAACTTGTAATAAACCTGTAATAAATTATATAACAAATTATATTTAACCTTAACAAATTTTAGGAAATTTAGAATTTCTTCTGTAGCAAATTTCAATGGAAAAAATGGAGATATCTGTGATAATTAAACAATAATACCTAATACACGCCGATATTTAGCAAAAGGCACACTCTTCTATCGTTAGACTTATAAACATCTCGACCCAGACCATCGTTGCTAAAAGGAAATTTAATGAATACCCCGCCAATTTCACAATTTCGGGGAAATGGATTCTGAAAAAAAAAAAAAAATTCTTGCATGAATTCAATGTAACACAATGAATAGGCGTTTAGTCTAGTTGTTGACAATCTAATGTTTATTCGAATTATAGATATAGTGCGACTAAATTGTTACTGGCTAGGCTTAATGTAACACACCGAGGACTTGTTTCTACAAATACTAATAATGAAAATTCGTAACGTACAATAATATTTGAGCTTTATAAATAATGTCGTGAGATGGAGTACAAGAAATTGTTAACATACAGCGATCTTGCCGGACAAAAAAAAAAAAAAATTATTATTTGTAAAGTTTTAAAATAATTCATTATTGATTTTATTATAATAATAATATATTTACTTTTTATACTATCGCTTGTGCGATAGTATTTTGAAACTAGAGAATGTTGATATTTACTTTTTATACTTTTTATGCTACTCTAGATTTTTTTTGATAATCTGCGGGAGAATATATATACAAATGCTAATACATACTAGAAAGTATGAGCTCGGGTTACCACGTGACCATATCGCATACACAAATTTCCCAAGTTGACTTTTTGGCACGAAGCCAAAGGAAGAGAATGTTTTTAGAATTCACATGAAAAAAATATGCAAGGAGTTGACCAAATCAAAAATCAGAAGAACTACTCCATTCATAATCACTGGATTCATCATCAAGCATGCGCCTAATTATTTTTTTGTTTTCTTTTTCAATTTCTTTATCGTTTCCTACGATATCAATTTCTTCTTCACCTTCACTCTCACTAGACTCACTATCACTTTCTTTAATTAGTTTATTATCATTTTTTTCGTTTGTATTCGATTTTACATTATGGTTGTCAAGATTTTTAGCAACATCTTTAATCAACGGGAAGAAAACTGCATTATCTGTAAATATTTAATAAATAAAGGGACAAATTAGGCAATTTGTGAAACAAGGATATAATATAAGTGATAATCTAGATTGTATAAAAACTTACACCAATTAACGTAAGCCTCCAATTGAGTTGGATAAATGTCAAAATTTAGGTCAATTATGCCAATCCAAAAATCGAATTGAGGTTTCCCCAGCCACCAGTCAAATATAAGGCTAATATTAGTAAGTTGGGTGTATAATTCAGGATCATAGACTAAGCTTTCAGTATAATGACTCATTTCGTAACCTAAAGGCTGCCTCCATATTGGAGTCATGAACATTTGATTTCTTTTAGACCATAGATCGTTAATGGTATGAACATAAGCCGAAAGGGCAGTAAAATCAAAGATTCCTTTAGCATGAGGACCAGGTAAGTCGATCAATTTATCAATGATCTTGCCGATCTGTTTTAGCTTCGGTTCCAAGCTGACCAACATGGGAATGTCATCAGTATAATACCGTAAGTCCCTTAGTTGGTCGAAAGTTTGTAATAAACTGTAATATGGATGGTTTTCATCTTTTATATCGCAAGCACGAAATTCGTCAGGTAAATATTTTAATTTCCAATGACGGTGTGGTAAGTCAGCGATGGTCCAGGCTTGATGTGACATGTTTGAAGAGCAACAGTTGAGTAGAAAACCACCGAAAACAGGATTTACATATAAGGCTTGCGAACCTTCTTCGTTACCGAAGGCAGTTTCAATCATTAAAGGTTGGAAAACGTTTTCCTGAAGGAAAGTGTAGTTGTGCCTGAAAGTTCTAAATTTATACTTGACACTGAGTTACACCTGTTTGTGCAACATTAACAACATTATCGCCATCAGAAGTTCAAACAGGTAATTACTTATGATTTTGTCAAGGGCTTGGGGTTTCCAGGCTTTGAGAAGACGCCCATGTGGAGATTACCGCATTGATCTGTGAAACATTGACTTCCCTTATTATTAGCTTTGACATTACGCAAGTTTTTACATTGTCTAATTTATAGGAGAAACAGTTTTAAGTCTCCGATTTTCTTATTGTCATCGTTTGAATTGTGTTTCAATTTGAATCCGAATTCCCAGCATACTAAACAAATCAAACTGTTGATCTACATAAACAGATAAAGTTTATCTTTTAAGATTGGTCAAATGCAGCACCTGCGGCCAACATGTCAATGCTTTCTAAAAGATCATATATGAGTAGAAAGAAAACACCCTATTACTATATAGGGCCATTAAAAAAAGTAAATATCCTACAACTTGTCTTATGAAATATAAATATTCCTTTTATAATTTTTTTGTTTTTTTTTTTCATAGATTTATTATTGATGTATTATTGGCTTAGCAATTCTCAATTCCTAGCAGACAAACTGCTTGTATGATTGTGTGAACAAAAAAATAATATGAATTGTCTTAATATGACTTTTATCTTCCTTTTGGTTTATTACTTTCAAATGCTATCGCTATTGTTAGATTTTTTTAAGATGTCTACTTTCATACTAATTTCTGTGTGCAACGGTTTCATTAGTACAAATTATACAAATTCATTCTTATGTATACAGATTTTCAACAAGATTTTCATTATTGTGCATTCCTACGCTTTTAATCAGATCTGTTGGAAATGATGCACAACATATTACAACATATTACGATAGATTGAAATAAATAGAGTTTAAGTTTTTGATATCTTAATTAGCCCTGTAGCCTTGGATGCTTAGGATACTATTCTTAATTAGGTTTGATTGTTCCGTTATTGATCTATAGAATTTATAATCATGATTTAATAGGCCAAATTGATTCCGGAGTAGGACTCTTTTGTTCCGAGTTAGATTTGGGCTTCGTCAAAATTTCTTTAAAGAAACGATCAAATTTGATTTTAAATCTGTTATGCGTAAATATGACTGTAAAATCTTGCGACAACTAACGTAAACTTTTTAATCAAAGTGTTACATAGCTTCGTTAAACCTTTAGAAATTTTTATTTGATTATTTGCTCATGTAGGGAAATTATCAAACTTAAATTTGAAACTTTAGTGTTAGATTTTTTATGCAATTATAATCTAAATAAATTGTTTAGATAAATTTGATGGATATACAGTATATATATATATATTATATTGTATGTACTGTATATTTTTTATTATTTACGCTATCAGTTTTTTTTAACTGCTATTTCCAAAGTAATACAGTCTAACCTTGATATGGTCATTCTTGGTAAGTATAATCACGTATTATAAAGATATTATATTACGTATATATTGTTGTTTTGCTAATTATTTTTTTTAAAATCATAAAAAACAAGCTAACTACTATATTAATACTATTGCTAGAAATATTAGACAGTCGGGTCTAAATAGATTACAGTCTTAAAAACCAAAAAAAAATTGGGTTGCTTTTAGTCTTAAAACCAGTTTGGTCAAAACTAGTTTAAATATATTTAGATTATTTAAAAATATTAAACATGAAATATTTTTTAGCTTTGTATTTATATATAATTTTCACGGTTGTCACGTTTACTATGTTTGTTCTATTGGCTTATAATTCTATTCATTTTTCTATTGTAAATTTTTAGTATTAAAATTTTATTAATTAAATATAAAAATATTTAAATTTATTACTTTATTAATTCTTTAACAATATATGTTTAAATAATTACAAATTATTAATAAAAAATTATTTTTTATATAAAGACAAAAAATTAAGCTTTTGTTCTATTGTTCTATTTGCCAATACTAATAATTTTAAATCTTTTGCAGTATAGAAAACATCTATTCTAAATCAATTAATTAATACATTTTACTAATAGTATCACCTATATTGCAAAAGATTTATAATTTTATATATTAAATTTGTAAAAAAAAAATTTAGATTAATTTATTTTATTGATAATATTTTTATTTTTATTTTTTTTTAATTTGGCAGTTCTGTCTTCTTACTTTATTAAAAATATCAAAAAATTATTGTTAACAGATATACAAAACTTTTTATACTTTATTTCTATATTAAAGAAAACTTACTTAGCTTTATAGCTCAAATGCAACACTATCTAGTAGCAATTTATTTTACATTAGATCCTTAACTTTTTGAAAATTTAATCTCTCTGATCATTAATTAAAGTAGCTGTATTACTTTATTAAGAAGCCAAATCAAAGAAAATATAGATAAGAAAAAAAGAAAAAACACAAAAGTATAGAAAATAATAATAAAATATACAAACAAAAAAAGAAAGATATAAAGAAGTATTAAAAACAAAAAAAAATTGTCTATCTTAACAATATATTTATAAGCCTTATAAAAATTATATACTACTAAACAAACTAGTTTCTACTCTAAATTTATTTAAATAGTATATGAAAATTAAAAACTAGTAAAAAAATTTTATTGATTAAAGCTATATAGGGAGATTGATACTTAGCGTATTTGTTGTCCTGTTATACTAATTTAGAAAGTAAATAATACTAACTATTTTGATATATATAATATTAATTTTTAAAAAATAAGTTAAAAGAGTATTGTCAATTTACCTTGGTTATATAATCATCCATTATGCTATCTTAAAAACTAGACTAAATAACTATATTTGATATATTAAGTAAAAAATATTCAGTACTATAAAAAACCTTATTCTAGCTTATCTTTAACTTTAACTCTAAACTTTAACTCTTTTTATAATATTAATTTTAATTTTAATTTAAAATTAA